GGTTCACACCTACATATACACTGGTTGACACCTACGTATACACTGGTTCACACCTACATATACACTGGTTCACATCTACATATATATTGGCTCAGACATACATATACACTGGTTCACACCTACATATACACTGGTTCACACCTACGTATACACTGGTTCACACCTACAAATACACTGGTTCAGGTCTACATATATACTGGTTCAGACATACATATACACTGGTTGACACCTACATATACACTGGTTCACACCTACATATACACAGGTTCACACCTTTATATACACTGGTTCACACCTACATATACACTGGTTCACACCTACATATATACTGGTTCAGACATACATATACACTGGTTCACACCTACGTATACACTGGTTCACACCTACATATACACTGGTTCAGACCTACATATATACTGGTTCAGACATACAAAATACCCCTGGTTGACACCTACATATAACTGGGTTTACCCTACATATACACAGGTTCACACCTTTATATACACAGGTTCACACCTTTATATACACTGGTTCACACCTACATATACACTGGTTCACACCTACATATACACTGGTTCACACCTATATATACACTGGTTCACACCTACATATACACTGGTTCACAGCTACATATACACTGGTTCACACCTACATATACACTGGTTCACACCTACATATACAATGGTTCACACCTACATGTACACTGGTTCACACCTATATATACACTGGCTAACACCTACATATACACTGGTTCACACCTACATATACACTGGTTCACACCTACATATACACTGGTTCACACCTACATATCTACTGGTTCAGACATACATATACACTGGTTCACACCTACATATATACAGGTTCACACCTACATATACACTGGTTCACACCTACATGTACACTGGTTCACACCTATATATTCACTGGTTCACACCTACATATACACTGGTTCACACCTGCATATACACTGGTTCACAACCTACATATACACTGGTTCACACCTACATATACACTGGTTCACAACCTACATATACACTGGTTCACACCTACATATACACTGGTTTAAACCTACATGTACACTGGTTCACACCTATATATTCACTGGTTCACAACCTACATATACACTGGTTCACACCTATATATTCACTGGTTCACAACCTACATATACACTGGTTCACACCTATATATTCACTGGTTCAGACCTACATATACACTGGTTAACACCTACATATACACTGGTTAACACCTAAATATACACTGGTTCACACCTACACATATACTGGTTCAGACATACATATACACTAGTTGACACCTACATATACACTGGTTCAAACATACATATACACTGGTTGACACCTACATATACACTGGTTCACACCTACCTATACACTGGTTCACACCTACGTATACATTGGTTCACACCTACATATACACTGGTTCACATCTACATATATACTGGCTCAGACATACATATACACTGGTTCACACCTACATATACACTGGTTCACACCTACATATACACTGGTTCAGATCTACATATATACTGGTTCAGACATACATATACACTGGTTCACACCTACATATACACTGGTTCACACCTACATATACACTGGTTCACACCTACATATACACTGGTTCACAACCTACATATACACTGGTTCACACCTACATATACACTGGTTCACAACCTACATATACACTGATTCACACCTACATATACACTGGTTCACACCTACATATACACTGGTTCACACTTACATATACACTGGTTCAGACATACATATACACTGGTTCACACCTACATATACCCTGGTTCACACCTACATATACACTGGTTCACACCTACATATACACTGGTTCACACCTACATATACACTGGTTCACACCTACATATACACTGGTTCACACCCTACATATACACTGATTCACACCTACATATACACTGATTCACACCTACATATACACTGGTTCACAACCTACATATACACTGATTCACACCTACATATACACTGATTCACACCTACATATACACTGGTTCACACCTACATATACACTGATTCACACGTACATATACACTGGTTCACACCTACATATACACTGGTTTGGGTCAGGAAGCACGACCAGTCATGAGGATAATTCATAAATAACACCATAATTGTTGAAAACTGTATAAAATAGCGACAGGTTGTTGGTCTAGACACATGTGCAACACTTGGGGGTCTTTACTGAGGAAATGTTTCTCCTACACGGTGGACTTCTTCAGTCAGATACAATAGTAGCAGCATTAATGAAATAAGGATGATGTAACCAGTCCATAATCCTTGGAGAGAAGGTATTTGAGGTGGTCAGTCCCTCAGCCTGGAGAAGAGTTGAACTCTGTTTAGCTGGTCAAGGCTGAGGGACTGACCACCCCAAATACTTTTTCTCCAAGGATGATGGACTAGTTACATCATCTTTATTTCATTACTACTGCTGCCATTGTATCTGACTGAAGAAGTCTACTGTGTAGGAGAAACATTTCGACAATAAGAGACACAAGTGTTGCACATGTGTCTTAATCTTCAATAAGATTATGAACTGAGACCAAATCAGCGGTGATCTTAGTGAAGCAGCTGAGAAGACCATGTGACTGATATTACCAACATGGATCTGAAACAGTTCCTCGGGAGCAGGAAGTCATTAACACTTGTATCTTGCTCCAGGCACATACCTCTTACAGAGAGGAGATTCATTAGAGAGAGAGAGAGAGAGAGGCACTCCCTCCACAGCCATCGACTACAAATAACAGAGATTCTCAAAGATAGTAAACTTTCTGAACAACAAAATGAAACACAGCTTAGAGAAAGTGAGAAAATTGATTTTAAACTAAATGTGTCATGTTGAATCCAGGAGAGGCGGAGGGGACACCTAGCATAAATAGAAGACATTTCAAATATTTTTTTCACATGCACAAAACTGGAGGTGAAACCCCACATGTAGTATGAGACCCGAACTGTTGGAACATTGAACTTACACCAAACATACTAAAGAAATAAGTGAAATATTTAAGTCAGTAAACTCTGTTTTTTATGAGCCATTAATCAGTCTAACAATGGATGACACAAACGAAGCTTTCATTAACGAAACTTGAAATGCTGCAGACGTCACCACAATTTCAGATGTAACCCAACCACCTCTTGACTTACAAGAACACAGTGATAACATGAGCATATTCGTTACCCCAGACTCAGACTCGTGAAGTTCCATATTCATCAAGAACTGTAAGACACCATTGTCTCGTGCCTTAAATATTCTGTGGAAGAATCTGGACTCGGGAGTCATTAACAAAAACACTGATATTTCCCCACTCCACAAAGATGACAGTAAAGTTAACGCAAAAAATATAGACCAATAGCACCAACGTCAGACATTGATAATCTTTGAACTGGTCTTAAGAAGCAACAGTGTCCATAACAAGGGCAACAAGGGTTTAGAACAGGTCGTTCCTGTCTTGCACAACCCAAGACAACATGTGTTTAGAACAGGTCGTTCCTGTCTTGCACAACCCAGGACAACATGTGTTTAGAACAGGTCGTTCCTGTCTTGCACAACCCAGGACAACATGTGTTTAGAACAGGTCGTTCCTGTCTTGCACAACCCAGGACAACATGTGTTTAGAACAGGTCGTTCCTGTCTTGCACAACCCAGGACAACATGTGTTTAAAAACAGGTCGTTCCTGTCTTGCACAACCCAGGACAACATGTGTTTAGAACAGGTCGTTCCTGTCTTGCACAACCCAGGACATGTGTTTAGAACAGGTCACTCCTGTCTTGCACAATTGGTAGACCACTACAACATGGTCTTGCATGCACTGGAAGACAAGCACAGTACTAACATAGTGTACACTGGCTGCTACAGGTGCGACCCTGGTGTCACAACTCACAAAGTGTGTGTGAAAGGCATAACTGCAAAAGTGGACAAATGGATATTTAACTTCTTAATAAATTAAACACAGAGAGTAATAATACACAGAGTGACATACAGGTTTGCCACAGTGACAAAGCTGTTTAACAATACACACTTAATAGGGTTTCAAACCTATCGGCTACACGAGAGGAGTCATTAAGGCTGCATGTAACTTTGTCACCACCAGTTATGATCATATTGTTCATGCTAGGAGCTATGACCACATTGTTCATCCTAGGAGCTATGACCACATTGTTCATGCTAGGAGCTATGACCACATTGTTCATGCTAGGAGCTAGGACTACATTGTTCATGCTAGGAGCTAGGACTACATTGTTCATGCTAGGAGCTATGACCACATTGTTCATGCTAGGAGCTAGGACTACATTGTTCATGCTAGGAGCTAGGACTACATTGTTCATGCTAGGAGCTAGGACTACATTGTTCATGCTAGGAGCTAGACTACATTGTTCATGCTAGGAGCTAGGACTACATTGTTCATGCTAGGAGCTAGGACTACATTGTTCATGCTAGGAGCTAGGACTACATTGTTCATGCTAGGAGCTAGGACTACATTGTTCATGCTAGGAGCTATGACCACATTGTTCATGCTAGGAGCTAGGACTACATTGTTCATGCTAGGAGCTAGGACTACATTGTTCATGCTAGGAGCTAGGACTACATTGTTCATGCTAGGAGCTAGGACTACATTGTTCATGCTAGGAGCTAGGACTACATTGTTCATGCTAGGAGCTAGGACTACATTGTTCATGCTAGGAGCTAGGACTACATTGTTCATGCTAGGAGCTAGGACTACATTGCTCATGCTAGGAGCTAGGACTACATTGTTCAAGCTAGGAGCTAGGACTACATTGTTCATGCTAGGAGCTAGGACTACATTGTTCAAGCTAGGAGCTAGGACTACATTGTTCATGCTAGGAGCTAGGAGAGAGGGACAGTTGTTTGTTCCAAGGTATAAGAGCATGGTACCACTTGACCTTGTAGAGAAGACCACTTGCCCTGTGTCCTACGTCTGGCACTTGTCACTTTGCAGGGTTGGCGACGGGGCAAACCTCGCTCTCTTATCTCACGGGCGAATGGAGGCGGGGCCAGCAACTGCTCCACCCCCTCCACGCCCATTGGTCAAGCTCATCAGGGGTCAACCAATCACACGCCTTCCTCGCCACCCGACATGGCCTCCTCCAATAAGAAGGTGATGCAAGGTTGCTTGTTGTTGCTTGCTTTTGCTTGTTGTTGCTTGCTGTTGACTGTTCATGCTTACCGTTGATTGTTGTTGCTTGTTCTTGCCTTCTGTTGTTTGTTGTTGCCTGCTGTTGCCTGTTGCTTGTTGTTGCCTGCTGTTGCTTACTGTTGCTTGCTGTTGCTTACTGTTGCTTGTTGTTCCTTGTTGCTGCTTGCTGTTGCTTGTGTTTGCATAATGTTGCTTCGTGTTGCTTCCTGTTGCTTGCTGTTGCTTGTCTTTGCATAATGTTGCTTCGTGTTGCTTCCTGTTGCCTGCTGTTGCTTGCTGTTGCTTGCTGTATTCACATGACACTGCTATTCACTTACCTCCCCTACCTACCCCGGCATACAACAAGGTCACAACCCTGCCTTCCCTGGCATGCAAGGTGGTCACAACCCTGTCTTCCCTGGCATGCAAGGTGGTCACAATCCTGCCTTCCCTGGCATGCAAGGGGGTCACTCCTGCCTTCCCGCATCAAGGTGGGCAAACCTGCCCTTTCCCTGGCAGCAAAATGGTCTAAACCCTCCTTTTTCCCGGGATAAGGGGGTCAAACCCTGCCTTCCCTGGCATGCAAGGTGGTCACAACCCTCCTTTCCCCGGGAAGAAGGTGGGCACAAAACCCCGCCCTTTCCCCCCCGGGAGCAAGGTGGTCACAACCTCCCTTCCTGGATGCAAAGGGGGTCACAACCCCGCCCCTTTTCCCCGGGGATGGAAGGTGGCCAAAAACCCCGCCTTATGGATGCAAGGGGGTCACAACCTGCCTTCCCTGGATCAAAAGGGGGACACAACCCTGCCTTTGCCTAGCAACAAGGTGGGCCAAAACCCCGCCTTCCCTGGCTGCAAATGGCCAACCCCGCCTTCCCGGCATGCAAAAGGTGGTCACAACCCTGCCTTTCCCGGCATGCAAGGTGGTCACAACCCTGCCTTCCCGGCATGCAAGGGGGGGTCACAACCCGCCTTCCCGGGATACAAGGGGTCACAACCCCCCCTTCCTGGCATGCAAGGTGGTCACAACCCTGCCTTCCCCGGCATCAAAGGGGGTCACAACCCAGCCCCCTGGGATGAAGGGGGTCAAACCCCCCCTTCCTGCATGCAAGGGGTCACAACCCTGCCTTCCGTGGCATACAAAAAGGTCCAACCCTACCTTCCCTTGATAAAGGTGGTCAAAAACCCTGCCTTCCCTGGTACAAGGTGGTCACAACCCCTGCCTTCCCTTTCTCAAAGGGGGTCACAAACCCCGCCTTCCTGCCCTGCAAGGGGTCACAACCCCCTTCCCTGGGATTTCAAGGGGGTCACAACCCCGCCTTCCCCGGCATGCAAGGGGGTCACAACCCCCGCCTTCCCGGGGATACAAGGTGGTCCAAACCCAGCCTCCCCTGATGCAAAGGGGGTACAACCCCGCCTTCCTGGCTGCAAGGTGGCACAACCCCGCCTTCCGTGGCATACAAGAAGGTCAAACCCTACCTTCCCGCAAAAAGGTGGTCACAAAACCTGCCTTCCTGGCATACAAGGTGGTCACAACCCTGCCTTCCCTTTCATGCAAGGGGTCACAACCCTGCCTTCCTGCCATGCGAGGTGGTCACAACCTGCCTTCCTGGGATTTCAAGGTGGTCAGAGCCCTTTCCTTCCCTGGATACAGGGTGTCAAACCCTGCCCTTCCCTGGCATACGCGTGGTTACAACTTGCCTTCCCTGGTATGCAAGGGGGTCCACACCCTGCCTTCCTGGCTTTCGGTCAAGCCCTGCCTTCCCTGGCTATGCAAGGTGTTCACACCTGCCTTCCCTGGCACACAGGGAATCAAACCTGCCTTCCCTGGGATGCGAGGTGGTCCAACCCTGCCTTCCAGGGCATGCAAGATGGTCACAACCCCGCCTTCCATAGCATGCAAGAAGGTCAAATGCCTTCCTGGCATCAGGTGGTCAAACCCCGCCTTCCCTAGCATTTCGAGGTGGGCAAACCCTGCCTTCCCTGGCATGCAAGGTGGTCACAACCCTGCCTTCCCTGGCATACAAGGTGGTCACAACCCTGCCTTCCCTGGCATGCAAGGTGGTCACAACCCTCCCTTCCCTGGCAAGCAAGTTGGTCACAACCCTGCCTTCCCTGGCATGCAAGGGGGTCACAACCCTGCCTTCCCTGGCATGCAAGGTGGTCACAACCCTGCCTTCCCTGGCATGCAAGGTGGTCACAACCCCTGCCTTTTCCCCGGCATACAAGGTGGTCACAAAACCCTGCCTTCCCTGGCATGCAAGGTGGTCACAACCCTGCCTTCCCTGGCATACAAGGTGGTCACAACCCAGTCTCCCCTGGCATGCAAGGTGGTCACAACCCAGCCTTCCCTGGCATGCAAGGTGGTCACAACCCTGCCTTCCGTGGCATACAAGAAGGTCTCAACCCTACCTTCCCTTGCATACAAGGTGGTCACAACCCTGCCTTCCCTGGCATACAAGGTGGTCACAACCCTGCCTTCCCTTTCATGCAAGGTGGTCACAACCCTGCCTTCCCTGCCATGCAAGGTGGTCACAACCCTGCCTTCCCTGGCATGCAAGGTGGTCAGAGCCCTGCCTTCCCTGGCATACAAGGGTGTCACAACCCTGCCTTACCTGGCATACAACGTGGTTACAACTCTGCCTTCCCTGGCATGCAAGGTGGTCACAACCCTGCCTTCCCTGGCATGCAGGGTCAAAGCCCTGCCTTCCCTGGCATGCAAGGTGGTCACAACCCTGCCTTCCCTGGCACACAAGGGTATCACAACCCTGCCTTCCCTGGCATGCGAGGTGGTCACAACCCTGCCTTCCAGGGCATGCAAGGTGGTCACAACCCTGCCTTCCATAGCATGCAAGAAGATCACAACCCTGCCTTCCCTGGCATACAAGGTGGTCAAAACCCCGCCTTCCCTAGCATGCGAGGTGGTCACAACCCTGCCTTCCCTGGCATGCAAGGTGGTCACAACCCTGCCTTCCCTGGCATACAAGGTGGTCACAACCCTGCCTTCCCTGGCATGCAAGGTGGTCACAACCCTGCATTCCCTGGCATACAAGTGGTCACAATCCTGGCCTCCCTGGCATGCAAGGTCACAACCCTGCCTTCCCTGGCATGCAAGGGGGCACAACCCTGTCTTCCCTGGCATGCAACGTGGTCACAACCCTGCCTTCCCTGGCAAGCAAGGTGGTCACAACCCTGCCTTCCCTGGCATAAAAGGTGGTCAGAATAATGCCTCCCCTGGCATACAACGTGGTTACAACCCTGCATTCCCTGGCATGCAAGGTGGTCACAACCCTGCATTCCCTAGCATACAACGTGGCCACTACCCTGCCATCTCTGGCATGCAAGGTAGTCACAACCCTGCCTTCCCTGGCATAAAAGGTGGTCACAATAATGCCTCCCCTTACATGCAAGGTGGTCACATCCCTGCCTCCCCTGGCATGCAAGGTGGTCACAACCCTGCCCCCTGGCATGCAGGATGGTCACAGCCCTGCCTTCCCTGGCATACAAGGTGGTCACAACCCTGCTTTTACTGGCATGCAAGGGTGTCACAACCCTGCCTTCCCTGGCATACAACGTGGTTACAACCCTGCCTTCGCTGGCATGCAAGGTGGTCATAACCCTACTTTTCCCCGGCATGCAAGGTGGTCACAACCCTGCCTTCCCTGGCATGCAAGGTGGTCACAACCCTGCCTTCCCTGGCAAGCAAGGTGGTCACAACCCTGCCTTCCCTGGCATGCAAGGTGGTCACAACCCTGCCTTCCCTGGCATGCAAGGTGGTCACAACCCTGCCTTCCCTGGCATGCAAGGTGGTCACAACCCTGCCTTCCCTGGCATGCAAGGTGGTCACAACCCTGCCTTCCCTGGCATGCAAGGTGGTCACAACCCTGCCTTCCCTGGCAAGCAAGGTGGTCACAACCCTGCCTTCCCTGGCAGCAAGGGTGGTCACACCCTGCCTTCCCTGGCATGCAAGGGGTCACAAACCCCGCCTTCCCTGGCAAAGCAAGGTGGACAACCTGCCTTCCCTGGCATGCAAGGTGGTCACAACCCTTTCTTTCCCCGGGATACAAGGTGGTCACAACCCTGCCTTCCCTGGCATGCAAGGTGGTCACAACCCTGCCTTCCCTGGCATACAAGGTGGTCACAACCCAGCCTTCCCTGGCATGCAAGGTGGTCACAACCCACCCTTCCCTGGCATGCAAGGTGGTCACAACCCTGCCTTCCGTGGCATACAAGAAGGTCACAACCCTACCTTCCCTTGCATACAAGGTGGTCACAACCCTGCCTTCCCTGGCATACAAGGTGGTCACAACCCTGCCTTCCCTTTCATGCAAGGTGGTCACAACCCTGCCTTCCCTGCCATGCAAGGTGGTCACAACCCTGCCTTCCCTGGCATACAAGGTGGTCACAACCCTGCCTTCCCTGGCATGCAAGGTGGTCACAACCCTGCCTTCCCTGGCATACAAGGTGGTCACAACCCAGCCTCCCCTGGCATGCAAGGTGGTCACAACCCAGCCTTCCCTGGCATGCAAGGTGGTCACAACCCTGCCTTCCGTGGCATACAAGAAGGTCACAACCCTACCTTCCCTTGCATACAAGGTGGTCACAAACCTGCCTTCCCTGGCATACAAGGTGGTCACAACCCTGCCTTCCCTTTCATGCAAGGTGGTCACAACCCTGCCTTCCCTGCCATGCAAGGTGGTCACAACCCTGCCTTCCCTGGCATGCAAGGTGGTCAGAGCCCTGCCTTCCCTGGCATACAAGGGTGTCACAACCCTGCCTTCCCTGGCATACAGCGTGGTTACAACTCTGCCTTCCCTGGTATGCAAGGTGGTCACAACCCTGCCTTCCCTGGCATGCAGGGTCAAAGCCCTGCCTTCCCTGGCATGCAAGGTGGTCACAACCCTGCCTTCCCTGGCACACAAGGGAATCACAACCCTGCCTTCCCTGGCATGCGAGGTGGTCACAACCCCGCCTTCCATAGGGAT